TCAGCAGGAGATGAATCACTTTGCAAGTGGAGACATTCTGTTTACAACTATGAGAAGGAATTCCTAAATCATTAAAATATGTTGCATAAAAATAAAAAACAGATCCTGCCGTTTCTGATTACAGATATTTACCTGATTTACTGGAGCTGGGGGTACAAGTAGTAATGTTACCCTTTCTTCTTAATTTTATTCACTTAGTGCACTGGAGCACCACTGAGCAATACCACTTCTCCTTCCACATACACATAAGGCCCTGTAGAAGCAGTATTCCCTCACTTGCATATGGTAGAAGACTAAAACCTAACATTTTTCCTTGAGCACAGAGCCAATTCTGTACAGGTTTAAGTTGTTCCATACAGAATTTTCATGCAGATGTTCCATTGTATGTGTGGCTTAGTACAAAAGGGCACTGTTAACTAAAGCAACTGTTGTTAGCATGTGGTTGTAACTACACACTGTAAAAAGGAGACATTTAAATCCCATTTCAGAGAAGAGAGATCTATAAAGTGATACAAAGACTAATTTATTTACTTACATCCACTTAAGTTGTTTGTTAAGACTGTCAAAAGCAGTTGCATTTTTAAAATATATTGAAGTGACTAGGGCAATAATGAAAATAAAGTAATAATGCTTCCAAATATAACTTTTGTCTCTCTATGCTAAAAGTGATGTCCTCATGAGCTGACATGGTATTTATTGGTGTATTTTTCTCTTCTGAGTGCTGTCATATTTCTTTTTATAAAAACTGAAGTCCAGAGTTCTTCAGCTTCATTAGAAAGTACGCCTTTACTGAGAGAAACGGTAAGTGCTCTACAGTTGTTATTTTACAGCAGTGAAAGTACATACCCATTTAAAAGCAAAAAATTTGCTTGATGTTAACCAGATTTGCCAGGATTTGTGGTAGGCTACATAAAACTGCATAAATATGCATTGATTGTATTTAATTTGTGGATCTTGTGTATCCAGTCGAATGTGAGCAACAGGAAAGGTCTTCCCAAGTGTTCTTTCTGTATTTCAGCTTTAAATGGTTTAAAAGTCCTTTTTCATTATGACAGAGTGTATAAAAGACAGAGTGTATTACTTTCCTATCTGACAAGAGGAGACAGTTTTAACTAAAACTTAACTATAAAACTAGGAGGACGCTTAGATGAAAGGCAACAGTGTGTATAACTCTTATCCACCAGATTTTTGCCACATTACAGAGGCAGAACACTGTCAGGAGTCACTGATTCTCAGCATTAGCAGTGACACAAGCCAAAGAGGGGTGCCAGATTGGCTGTTGCTCCTTTGGGAGACCAAAGTATGCAACAAAAGCTGGAGAACAGTAGGCTCCTGCTACCATTGTACCTTACTCTTGTAGATCAGTGGTGCATTGAAACTCAATTGCTACCTGAACAGAGAGCCCTTCAGAGTTTTCTGTCTGTGCTCAATGCTCGCTAGAGGTTCCAGTCTATGAGAGCAAATCACAGAAGACAATCTGGTTGCAGGATTAGAATAAAGGAATGTTGCATTTTCTTTATGCTGCAGAGAGTTATTTTCCCTGTTTGCAAATAGTCCTAATATTCTGATAGTAACACCAGAGCTATCACCAGAAGGCAAAAACACATCATAAATAAAATCTGTAGCTTAAATCATTCATCAGATATGAAGAAGGATGAGTTTTGAAAGTCAGATCTACCTGCATGCAGATTTTAAAAGAATGCTAGTGGGTGCTGTGTTATGTAGTAAACCAAAAATCCATATCCGAACTCATACTTGTAAACTCTGAGGTAGGTAGATCCAATTATTATTTTGTTATTTAAAAAAATATATATTTCTCCTTTATTCGGAGTATTTCTGTAGGTTCCTATTGTTTCTCCTTCCATTTTCATTTTATTTTCATAGACCAAAACTGTTCTGTTTAATACAATGTTTGAGATTTAAAAAAAAAAAAAGAAACCAAACCTGAGTGAAAACTCTTGTTTTTTTGCAGTCTGTTAATGTTTCTGAAGATGACTCATGGGTGAACAGACTTTCTCCAGCAAAAAAAAGATTAATGTAAGTTATTAACAGTTCTTTTACTGGTGCAGGCCAAGTAGCCAGAGAAAGTAGTTGAACACAGTAAGAGCAGAATTTGTGTCCTGTAGTTTTCCTAGCACAGTCATGCACTAACAGTTTTTAAAGTACTAGTCTAGTGTACATATCTATATATGAATAGCTGCTCAATTTATTAGATTTTTTCCTTCACACTGTTAAGTGTGCATTACCTTATCAAGTAAGTATTAGTTAGTGCTACAAAAGTACAACATTTGCAAAGTAAATAGCAATAGCAACTAAGTAATTACAGAGCTGTTTTTTATCACCTGGTTGATTAGCACTCCAGCATAGAAGAGCCTGTGCTAATAATGTGCTTCCAGGTGTGGTTTCCAAGTGAATACACCTGGAGAATGCATGGCAGTATGGTAGGGAGACAGCAGAAGTGCTCCAAGGTGGAAGCAGTAGCTATCAAGGGGCTAGTGTGGGGAGTGGAGACAGCCAAAAATACAATGATGTGGAGGCAGAGAAGGGGACCAGGAGGCAATGAAGCTGGGAATAGTTATAAAGAATATGTAGGCTGCAACAGTGAAGCTGACAGTGGGAGCATTTTAACTATATTTTTGTTGGTTTTCTCCTAGCTCTGCTTTTAGGAAATCCTAGTTGATTTCACTTGTCATTATTCTAGACTGCAGGCTCTTTGGGCAGGAATTGTCTGTGATAATTGGCCACAAAGTATAGGAAAACTAAGTTACTATGTTGAACCATTTCTACACTAGAAAATAGAAATGTGCTAAAATGTATTATTTTTATAGCGTTGCTACCAATTTTCATATGGTATATGGTCTTTAACTGCAATACTGGACTTAAGTGTATTGTCTACTTCCCTAATTAACACTAGGCTATTTTCTCTGATTTTTGCTCTTTTTAAAGAGGATGTAGCCTGGCTGTAGTAGCTGGAATACTCTATGGTTCCAGTTTTGTACCAGTACTTTACATCAAGGACCACGGAAGAAGAAATGAAACTATATACACAGGAGCAAGTCAATTTGGTAAAGGCTAATAGGTCAATTCTACTTTATTTCATCAGTATATTGTGGTCTCCTGCTTTTGTAAAGGCATTAAGTGAAATTCTTGATACACCTGGAAATATACAACGGCAACTTATCAGTTCTGCGCTGTGTTATATGTTCTTGTAATCATTGTACTGCTACTCCCTTTTTCCCAGAGGTGAATTACACCATTAAAAGAACAGTGAGAAACAGCCCAGAGGATACCATACTTAACTCATAGTATTTAATGCCTTCTGAAACATAGCTAGCATTCTTAAAATACAAAGCTCGTATGCCTGGAGCATGAGTTAAGCAAGGGCACAAGCTGTACCAATTGTTTAATTAGTACACCAGTAGAGGAAGAGGAGAAGCTTGATCATAATTGTTTAGCAGAAGAGATATATAGCAAGATAAGTAATTAAAACCTTGTAGTTTTTGAAATGGAAACTTTTTAACATAAGCCTAATCACCAGTTTCAAACAATATTTCCCCAGAAACATTTTCCTTAAGATTTAGTGTATAGTCTATCAGGTAATACCAGCAGCAGCTTAAGAGCAACATATTGCTAAGACCGCATAATGTTGCTGTTAAGAAATTGTTATGTTACATAAAATTTCTCTTGAATACTGCAATTTATATATTCCCCAGCTAGACAAAACAGATGTTATCACTACTGTAGCTGCCTTTCCTGTTGAGGATTCACAACTCCAAGGAGATAGAGATCACCTTGCTACACGTTTCTGCTTTACCATATTGGAAATTTTCTTTTTAGGGCATACCAAGTCCATAAAGGATTTATTATTGTTAATGATTATAGTGATCAAAATTGTGATGTGTTCTTCAAGATTAAAAGAAAGGACAAAACTGCCATGTTTAGCTTACACAGTAAGTGCAATTGTTCTGCCCTTAAATGTACAGAAAAGAAACAAGGCTATATACAGGAATATAAATGTAGATGGTCAGGAGAGGATCTCCTTTGTAGCCTCACCTGAGGATTTTCTTAAGTTTTTAATAAATTAATTCCATAGTTTGACTAATAGAGTTCTGAAAATAACAACTCACAGAAATGCATAAAAGCTTGTGATAAATGCTAGGGTCAACACAGCAGTTAAGTCATGTTTAATATATGTGTGATTGACCAAATCCATCCACAGTTAGACTGGCAGCTGTATTCATCACAATCACAATTGAATCTGAGTGGTTAGCAGTAGCACCCTATGTGTTTTTGTCTATGTGAATGCCATCAGTGAAACAAATTTAGTTAAAATTAATAATTGATGTTTTCAACTAATACAATTTTGTAATTTCTCTTTCAGATTTAGATTATGTTTTTGCACACTTCAGTGGAATATTTCTTACAAGTACTGTCTACTTTTTGATCTACTGTGTAGTCAGGAAAAATAAACCTAATGTTTATCCCCAAGCCATATTGCCAGGTATGACTGGTTTTTAAATTAACAATTAATTTCATTAATTACTACTGACTGTTTTGCAGTGATTAGTTCAAGCTATGTGTTGGAATTGTAGTTCACCTTTCAGGAGTCTTCATTTGACTTTTTGTCTCTTTTGAAAGATTGCTCCTATTAGGTTAATTAATTAAGGTTAGGAAACAATGGTAAATTTTGTTCTAATCTGAAATTAGAACAAAATGATATTGCATACCACAGATTTTCAAAAACTGACTCTGCCAGAGTGGAGAGCACTTTGCCCAGAAAATTGTGAAGTTTAATTTGCTGCTTTAGTTGGAGTAGCTGATTTTTCTCTCTTGAGCTTTGGTTTAGATTATCAGAGCCAGCTTGTTGAAGTAGTTAACATACTAAAATACGTACATACAGTTTCTGTATTATGCTATAAATATAAATGTTCTACAAATTGCTGTCTATACCTTGCTGTTTATGTTTTTGACTGGGATTTATTTTTCTAGGGTTTGTTTCTGGTGTGCTTTGGGCAATAGCCAATTGCTGCTGGTTCATAGCCAATCACTATCTCAGTGCTGTGGTCAGCTTCCCGATAATTACTGCAGTAAGTATATAAAAAATAAAATCTGTGACTAGAATTAAAAGTGAAGGGTTCTCTCTCCCCTGCAATTTGCAGAATTAAGTTGAAATTATGTCTCTAGAGCATTTTAATCAAGAGTATACATCGCCTCTTATTCTGCTTGTCTGTGCTAGCCTTTGTTTTTTTAGGAACATACGTGACTGTGACAAGCACCATCTTGGTGAATGCCAAGCATAAAAAACCAAAGGAATTGAAAGTGTGAGTTGTTAGGTTATGTAAAAGCCAGAGAGCTCTGTAATCAGAACTATATCAATATTAAAAGGTAAACTGAAGTGATTAAAAGAAGAAACAATTTATGTTTTCATCCCAGCAAGTACGTTTTGTTCTGGATATTTTCATTTGTGATTTTTATCCTCCAGCAGTCATTTTGCTTAGTTAAATCGGGTATTTTTTCTTTCTACAGTTCTTGAACACACAGAACAGATTATGTATTGCTGAAAATAATGTTCTTATGCAAATGAGGGAAAAATAGGTTGGCCTGTTTTGTCTGTTTTATTCCTATTTATGATACTGTACCTTTAAAGCACTGTTAGTTTCCAGAAGCTGCATAAACTCCATCACTAGGCAGAAATAAACTTTGCCTTTACTCTCTTGCCGATCTGCTAGATGGTGCTGCAAAGGTGGATAACTTCTGGCAAATGAGAGTTCATAAATATCAAAACCAAAGTTTTGCCGAACAGCTGTATTTTGGAAGCAAACTAATGAAACAACATTAATAGGGATTAAGCTTTGCCTCAAGATGCAGTAAATCAGAATAAACTCTGCAGTATGCAATGAAAAAAAAAAGAGACTTGGGATCATTCTAATTAGAAATTGAAGGATTAATGGAAAGCAGCTTTAGTGGCTCAGTTATCAGTGTGCCTAAAGGGCAAGGATATAAAATGACAAAATGAAAAATTTAACTATAGCACTGATGAGAAACTGCCTGTCTGGTCCACAGGTTCACGACTGCTGCTTTACTTCATCCTAGAGAGAATTTCAGACAGCTATTCATCACATCCCTTTAACAATTTGTTTCATTTTTCAAATGCGTTCCTCTCGCAGCGTACATTATCTAAAAAGTGAAATAACACCTTAGCTATTATTCCAATAATAGTTGGCAATTTCACTAGGAAATGGCACCCACAAACACATTCAGCATGAGACGCTGTTTCCTGCTGGCCTAAATCTGTGTCCTGTCAGCGGTACTGAAGATGGATAGAGGAAGATCACTGTCCAAACATCTGTCGAGTGTTTCTGAGAGCAGCTCTAATGGGAAGCATTAACAGAGCTAGTTTTTGCTTCATATTCAGATAATATTTTCTCATCCATCATGAAAATTCAGATCATTGCTCCCACAGGGGAAAAACTATATTACCAGGAGTGCCTGGAAATTATCGTTGTGTATCACTCTTTGCTGTTAGCTAGGAAATCTGTACAACAAAATCACAGATAATCAGTAGTTTTCCTGACCTGGCTGGCTGGCTTGGCTTCATGCTTTGTCTAGATGCCTGCTATACAGGGAATACATTTATGTTCCTGTTGCTTGATATCATACTAAATGATAAAATCAAACTTTGTTCAACTAGTTAGTCATGCTAATAAAGGAAATGTTAGGAATAGCCATGGTAGCTGTCAATAAACCTGAATAGTCTTCTGAAATGAGGTAACATTGTGGACTACAGTTTGGACTAAAGTGAGACCTATTGTTTGGAGCCTACCAAAAGAATGTGTAACAGACAGTGTAGACTCCACAGTATAACTTAGAAATAAATTGTGCCTTCTCTGAAAAAAAAAGTCTCTTGCCTCTTTAGCCTTTCTTGAAGATTTTATTGTGTCTTTCTTCGTAAAGATTTCAGTGATGTTCATATTTTTGCCATGAGTGATGTAATTATACAGAACGGAAAGGCCTAAATTTTTTTATCCAGACAAAATTCAACCATCCTGAGAACAATAATGAGAAGGTGACACATTTTAATGAAATGCTGTAATGTACAAATGAATCTTCTTCTTTAGGGTCCTGGTCTTGTTGCTGCAATGTGGGGAGTCCTTGTATTTAAAGAAATCAAGGTAATCTTATTAGGTGTCTTACCTAGTCTCTCTTACTTGTCTCTGGCTCTAGGAACAGCATGACTTGGTATACAGCTGTATTCTTAGATTTCTTCTCCTTACAAGTATTGCATTGTGAAGCTGAAAGTCACATCATGCGATACTAAGTTTTCCAAGGAAGATGAAGAACTCTGAACAATTTTTACAGGAATGAAGATTTGAATTCCATAACTGTATGAGCAGCAGTGGGAGTAAATGAAGACTGTAGCAGAGGCAGGATGCCAAGCACAGCCTGAAAATAGTCTTTATTTGAGCCAGTTCTTTCAGTGGGCGTAGGGGAATGAGCAGTTGTCCTAATAGCACATAGACAAGTAGATTAGACTTCTAGGGTCAGATTCGCCAAAGGAGCAAAAAATGAGACAGAGATTAGTTGCCCTTGCTAATTACAGTATAACGTAAAGTTTCCTAAACTGATACATCAGTGATTGCCTAGAACAGGCTAATTTACTCTGCTGGATGTTAACTTATATGGCAGAAATCATTTTTCTAGTGGAATCTGAAGCATTGAATGCTAGCAGGGTAATCCTCAAGTTCCCTTAGGATCCCTCAAGTCCAGGATCCATAGGCACCTAATTTGCCATTAGAGATCATCTTTCCCAATATTTTTGGTGACTGTGTAAAATGCATTAGGCATCCCTGGATCAGGAACTAGAAGTTCTGTCTCTCTCTCCCACTGCAGATTAATGTTGCACCACACTAGAAGACAATCATGTTCATTATCCAAAGCTTCGTGACTCACCAAATCTTTCATCCTTTTCATACATTTTAGAATAGTCTCTGCATAAGTGCTTACTGTTTAAAAATAATCTGAAAATAGATAAAGGCCTTTAAAAATACTTTTTAAAATTGCTGAATTAATTTTGTGAATATTTTACTAAGTGTATGGCATCATAGATTACTTGTATTAAACTGTTTTGGATAGCAAATATGTTACAAACTTTATGTGAAATTAAAAAAAAAAAGTGAAATAAAGAACTAGGGTTTGATTTATGTCAAAATTAATAAATCCATTACATGAAAAGGTAAATTTTATACCTTCTTTTTTTTTTTTGGTGAAGTGCTACCCATTATGACAACATAATTTTCTTTTTCTCTCCCTTTGTCTCTCCAGGGACTAAAAAACTACATGTTACTCTCGGTAGCATTTTGCATCATTTTGGCTGGATCACTCTCCACAGCTTTTTCTAAAGTTTGAAACGATCTTCTGGACCAGTAGATGGTGCTACTGTTTAATATAATCAGAAAAATAATATTGGTATATCGCAATACTAAATAATTTTCAAAATGTATGTCCAATATTTACCCTAACTTGCTTCAGGCAAGTGAAAAAGAAAACCTTTGCTAAATATTCCCATTTGGCATGAAAGAAAATCTGGAAATGTTTGTTTCTGCATTTCTTGGAATGCTAAGAATATCAAAGGATTTTATTAAATAAAGCTAAATGATTTTATGGTTACTAATTCTTTTTTCTGGTTCAGGTACTAAACTTCATGTCATCATAAATTGCAGTTCACTGTTGTGATGGTGGATAAATAGACTTTAGTTCTCTGCGTGTAACACTGTAGGTATTTGCAAGCTGATTTGTTTTATTATAACATTCTGTCTTACTGACTTGAATGTAAAATACGTCTTGGAATATTCTTCATGGAACTGATATACATGAAGATGAGAAGCATTTTTTTATTTAGAAGCATATTCTTTAAAGACATCAGTTTACATAAAAACCTTCTCTTCCAATCACTTCAGAATTTTGAAGGAAATATAGAAAAAAAGGTGCTGTGAAGTAAATTACTTGTGTTTGCTGCTAAACTGTTTGTTTAGTGGCAAGAACATTATGTAGAAATCATGACCAGGATATGAATAGTTGGGGAAGTTTGGGGTTTTTTTATTTCACTTGTATGGAACTTTGCAAGTAAACATTACATTTCTGTAACTTGCGGTGTTGCAATATGAGCTCAGTATGTCATTCATAGTTTGTTTCCAAATAAATCTGAGCATTTTCTGAATACTTACTTTTCTACGTAGCATATTCAAATCTTTAAAATTATGTATATTATATGCATAAATCTTTAAATTTACGCAATATTTATTACATTGAAGTATCATGCTAACAGTACCCAATCATTGTTCTACCCAAAGCAAGATCATCTATATGTAAATCACTTCTGACAGTTATTGTCTAACTTTTTTTGTTTGTTTTTTTTTTTAAAGAAACAAGTAGGTTTCGCAACATATTTAGGCAAACTAACCAGCTTCTTACTACCTGTCCTGCTAGAAAGCCTTAATACCTAAAGGAAATTGCCTGTGAGGAACATTATGTCCATTGTTCCATGACCACCACTAATGTGGAGAAATGTTTATTTTCTTACTCGGGGCAGCTAACCTTTATATGTGCAAAGTATGTTGTCTGAATCTCCCCTTAGTCTTTTCTTCAGTACATTAGACAACCCTAGCTCCTGCAGTCTTCCCTTGTTTGTAATGTGCTTATCATTTTTCTCACTCTTCACTGAACTCTCACTAAGTGGACTAGATCTGTTTAGAAAAACTAGACTTGGCAGTCAGACTGCAGTCTAACAAAAACCAAGAAAAGCAGCAGTAGAATTTTTTTTTCCATCCAATTTGCAAGCTCTGTTCATGGTTACACATTATAGTATGACACTTTTTGCCATAACGGCTTGATAATTGTTAACACATTCAGATTGCAATCATAATTTCTCCTTTCTCCCTTCCACCCTGTTTGTCTACGGATCAAATTTCTCTTAGAACTGTTACTTAGCCCGCTTTTTCCCTGTCCCATATTGTTTATTCCTACCCAAGTGTCAGAACTTGGTGTCTAATAGTTTTTTTCCTCCATAAGGCATTTCTCTAATTTTGCTCTGTATGCGAACCCTGTCCTCCAACAAGTTGGCGTCATTTTCTAGCCAGATGTCATCTGCAAATTTAATAAACATACTGTCTTTATGGTAAATCATTTGTGAAAATGCCATATGATGCTGGCTTTTAGTTACTTCTTGGAATCCAATACAATACTTATTTTCACTCTGACAGGGAACAATTGATTACTCTTTTGAATACAATTTCCCTCTGTCTTACAGTGGTCTTATTTAGACTGCATTCTCCCAGCTTTTATGTAACATCTGACACAGTTGTTCAAGTCAAGCAAGATATATGATGTGTACCACCCTAATACCTCATGTTGGAAAGAAAACAGGTCAGTTTTCTTTCTAATATCCAGGTCAGACACAATTTCTTCATGACAGATCCTTGACTGTTGCTTACCTAGCCATTGTTCTATTGACTCAGACAAGGAAGAGTAATTTGTTCACGTTTTTGAAATAACTTGAATTAAATTGGACATTTATAATTTCCCTGGATCTGTTTCTCTTCTTCTTAAAGATCACAAGAACTTCTATATTACTGGAATGTGCCCCACGCCAGAAAATTGCTGATAAACAAAGAATTGGCAAAACCAAAATATGGCTCCTCTACTTTACACATATGCTTTAATATGTCAGTTCTTTCCCAGTCCATATTAGTTCTTACTCCTATGTCAGTGTTCACAGTTGTGTTAACACTGACTGTAATCTGTTTAAGTAAGACTGAAGGAACAAGGGTGCTGTGTGCTTCAGTTTGTAATGTCATTGCTGAATAGTGGCAGATTATCTCATTTCCACGCAGTTACTGACAAAAATACTAGTCTTGTAAGTCACTATTTTGCTAAAATAATTACAATGCAATACAATATTTATAAAGATAGTGTGATTGCAGCAAAGTCCACTTTGATGTACCAATGCAATTGCTCAGGAAGGATAGAGTAGACTTGGTAGTGTAGGTTAATGGTTGGACTGGATGATCTTAAAGGTCTTTTCCAACCTAAATGATTCTATGATTCTATGATCTGTTTAGTTTACTACTCCCTGTAGGTCACCTTCCACATTGGGTTAAAGTCTGCAAGTACAGTCTACACTATTCAATGAGGTGTACTCTTCACTAGTTTATGTTAAGTGAATTACTAATGCCTCAGTCTGGAAAAAAGGTTGGAAAATGTTCAACCAGAACTCTCAGGGAGGAGAACCTGCATGGGCTTGGAGAGTGACCTAGCCTGTTCACACTACTGCTTCCAGGGTAGAACTAGGTTTTAAGGAGTGTATAAGACCCATATTGCACAAAAGGTCTCTCAGGAACCAGACATCCCTAGAGCACCTTCAAGGGAGAACAGGAGCAAGCAAAAACAAAGGTCAGAGAATCAAGAGATGCAAGAATGCATGGTATGATTAAAAACTGAGCTAAGCATCAGAAAATCAAAGACACCCTTTCTTAGCACAACAAAGCTCTGGGAGGAAAAAGGAACAGGAGCAGAGGAGGCTGTGTAAAGATGTTACAAGGCTGGGCATATCGCAGAGCAGAAACAGAGCATGGTGTTTCCTAGTTGTCTTCTACTGCTGGGCAAGCCACAGTACTCACTGAAGAGTCAATGCAGAGGGGCTGTCATGCAATTGCTGGTGGGCCTGTACCAACTCTGCTTGGTAATCTGCATCGCCAGCTGTGCAAGGAATGAACAAACAGGATCACTCAAGCCGAATTACTGTGGCACCTAGTTTATCCCTAACCTTGGCCACCTGTTTCTTGTCCTGCACTACAGTGAAGAGCCATTAGCCTTGTGTACTACTGCACTACTCCGAAGCTCTGGTTGGTTTGGTGCTGTGGGTATCCTGAGTGAATGCATCTTGGGTTTTTCAGATTTTTAGCCCTTTAACTTTTAGTGACAGGACAAGCTGGCTACTAGTGCTGTAGTGGTAACGTTATGACAGGTTAGCAAGTAGTAGAAAAATTTGTCCTGGCAGCACCTGGTTTTACTTGCCTCAGTCCAGATTCTGTTTTGCTTGCTTCATTTTTTATTTGTTATGGTTTAAGATAAATCTGAAAATGGACAATGAGACCAAATCTGCTATATCCATTCATTATTAGAGGACTGTTTCTGTCTTGTGCTGGTTGTGCAGAAAAATGAAGCTGGCTTGTACCTTGGCAGTTGAGATGCATTTAAGTTTAGGGTTTAAACTCTTACCGTATGCTTCAGTTAGCTTTAACTGAAGAGTCTTTTCTAATGTTATCTTAAGTTTCTACTATCTCTCTTGAAGGATGCTCTTAAGTTAATGTCTGGTACGGGCCCAGCATCCACCAACTGGATGTGATTACAGGGAACAGTTGAATCTTCCAGGGCAGGAGCACCTTTACATTTCCTGGTTTCTGTACAAGGTCATTGGCTTTCTGAAACAAACCAAAAATTTGAGCTCCTGACCGCAGCAATTGCCATGTAAATATATGTAGTTTGATGCAGTTCTCCAGTCTATATTGTAAAGCTATCAGATGTGCAAACTTAATTGCTGACTGCTAGGGCATTAATTAAAATTCTTGTTTGTGAAGGCTCAAGTATGACCCTTATTAAATGCCTTCTTAGCAGCTCTCCTATTGGATTTGTCTTGTCAACAGCAAAAAAAAAACCCACCTCTTGCAGCTCCTTTCTGTGGAAAAATCCCTTGTGGTAATTCATCAGGATTTATGGTTTAAATATGCATTTATTCCAAAACATTTTCTTATGATGTTCACTTGGAATGTATTGGATAAATATTCCACTCATTTCTGAGATTTTCTTGTTCTTGAAGTTTCAAGTTTGGTACTTCTTTCATGTTAAAATGCTGGATTAACAGATATCTGTTTATAGAGCTGTTTATACAAAACAGTCTGGCAGCAGCTGAGTTTAATAAGAGACAATTCTGCAGCTAATGTAAATTATCATGGCTCTGTTTATATCAGTATGTTTTTACAACAGTGTGAGAACTGATCCAGAATATTTCTAAGGGGGGTGGGGAGAGAAAGGGGTGTGTGTTAAATTTTTTGTATATATAACTGAAGGAAGACCCAAAAGTAGGACTAAGGTAGAAGAATCACATTTCTTGGAGAAAATTATACTTTCAAATATTTGTTTGTGCCTGTTTAATAAATTCTAAGAATATATTTGAGCTTCTTTAAGAATTTTTCTCTGGTAATATTTAGAGGCAAGCTAGTCTTTAAAATACAGGTAGACTGGGAGTTTCCAAGTAAGATTTTTGTGCAGTGTTGGGAACTAGGGAACTCAGTGTCAAATTTTTTAGATTTCCTTTACCTTTTTATTTCCCTATGTTTATTATCAATTAATTTTCTGAGGCTCACTGCTCTTCTTCCAGATTTTTATTCCTTCATATTCTTAGTAAAAATGATTGTTAATCTGTAAGAATAATTTAAATACAGTAATTCCTATGTCTTCAAATGTGAACAGTGAAAACTGGTAGGTTTTTTATCCACATATACATTTTTATATTTTATCTATATCATAATTTTCTTTTCCAACCAATATTCAAGGTTGATTAAATGCTAGTTCAACAGTCTGACCTGATCCTTGAACTTTCTTGCATCTGGCATGAAAATAAAATGACAGCCAAGATGATGCATGCTAGCAATTAGTGTCTTTTTTCTTTTTAATTTTGACCT